ACTGGCCATGACAACTTGAAGCACCATCAGTGCTGTCCGATAGGCAGTATTTCAAGTTAAAGCCAAGCCGCTGTAGCGTCAAATTTAAGAGATCGACCAAGCCTTGGCCAGTACTGTCATTGCTTGGTACAATAGAAAGCAGCCGTTCATGCACAGTAGCATTTAAATCATAGCGAAACACAATGCTGAATTGGTCAATTGCAGATATATCTTGTGTAGAATCAACTTGTACGGAGTACACTTTTGCTTTGGATACTTCAATTGCAATCTGTTCCTGCATCATATTTTTCATAATATTGAGAAGCTTTGATATAGTAGTCTTACTTAAAAACGTAACCAGAGCACCGTGACCTTTACTGCCGGCTTTACCTTGACGCTTCAGTTTTTCTATTCTTTTAGTTGATTTCTCTTGACACATGGAGAGATGAGAAGCTAAAAGTGGGTCATATTTGGCCAAGAGCTGTACCAAAGTCAGAAAATTTCCATGATTTTCTTCATCATTGTTCAACGAATAAGCATCTTCATTCCTATGACCTCGAAATGGCAATGTTTGCTTACATAAATGTTTAATGATAGTAATAACTCGAGAAAGTATTTGTTTCCGTATCAGTACTTCATCATTATATTTCTTTATTGCTGTACTATAAAATCTGTCAAAGTCTTGATTTTTTATTATACGAATGTAATTAAGAACATGCCTGCGGTGAGTGCTGCTTGATTCGTGTTCTGCAACCCGTTGGCTAACTCGTCTAAAATCTTTGAAGCCAGACACAAATGATGAAACGGTGTTAGACTGTGGTGATTCAAATGCAACACAGAATGAGCAATATAGAGTCTAAGAATTTTGGCTAAATGACAACCAATTTCTTGGTATGCTACCCTTCAAGTCCGTTTGTCTATGGTAGATCTTGTTATCAAACGGCAAATGTTCATGTGGTTGAATTGGATGTTTGCTAAAAAAACATTTTAACTTCAAACGTGGTGGATATTCAAATGCTGATGTACTCTGCGAATTCGACTCAATATCTCGACTACCTTTTGCTTGTATAACTCCTGATGTACTCTGTAAATTTGACTCAAGATCTCGACTACCTAGTGCTTGTATTATTGCTGATGTACTTTGTGAGTTTGACTCAATATCTCCACTACCTCGTGCTGGTATTGATGCTGATGTATTGTGTAAATTTGACTCAAGATCTCGACTACCTAGTGCTTGTATTATTGCAGATGTACTCTGCGAATTTGATTTAATATCTCCACCACCTCGTGCTAGTATTATTGCTGATGTACTCTTCAAATTCGACTCAATATCTCGACTACCATTTGCTTGTATAACTCCTGATGTACTCTGTAAGTTTGACTCAAGATCTCGACTACCTAGTGCTTGTATTATTGCTGATGTACTCTGTGAATTTGACTCAATATCTCCACCACCTCGCGCTAGTATTATTGCTGATGTACTCTTCAAACTCGACTCAATATCTCGACTACCATTTGCTCGTATAATTCCTGATGTACTATGTAAATTTGACTCAAGATCTTTACCACCTCGCGCTTTAATTATCTCTGATGTAATTTGTACATTCGACTTAATATTGCCTTGACATTGTGGTTGTACTGACAAAAATGATGTGATTAACTTGCACTTTTTTGCAGAAACTTCTATCTCTGTCTGTAGTTTTTCTTTGCGCTTTTGTGCTCCAGATTTTGACACGATGATAGTGACCTGAGTTAAGATTTTAACATTTAAAAAAATAAAGCAAAAATAAAGATCGTCTACTTTTAGAAAAAATGATATTTAGATCTGCCCAAATAAATTTTGTCCGATCAAGTTTGTTTGAACGGCAAAAATGGCAAATCAAATATATTAAAACTCAAATAAAGACAGGCCACTAATGACAGATTTTTGGTAAAGAAAGGGGGGCAATGACTCCTTAGCCACGGCACTAATTCCGGTATATTTTAGAATCTTAACTATAGCTATAATTTCCAGATCGGTGAAATTCTTGTATTCTTCTTTTATATTATGACTTTGCTTACTGCTGGAATTATATAAACTATTGCATTTAAACCTTAGAAAATTCATTATAGATGAATTTTCTATTGTATTCCTTGAAGGAAATAGAAGGAAAAGAGTAGCAACTACCAACTTATCCTTTTTTTTAGTACTTTAACTTGATAGGTGAAGAACATTACGATTATTAATGAAAAAAGAACATGTTTTTAAGAAATAATTTGGATTAGACATTTTATAACAGTTCTTACTCTCATGATCTATAATCATGTTTAAATTAATGAATTTTTAAATTTTGTTTTTAATTTTTTAACAATTTGAAGCGACAGAACGAAATCCTAAAGAATTTCAAATATAGACTTAGTAAAAATCTAAAATTCTGTTTAAGCAAAAAAGATATATACATATTTTTTTCTTTCAACACAAACAGAAGTAGCTGTATTAAAAAATACCTTTTTATGTATTTTATCTCATTCTAAGTTATACATTGTCAAAGTTTAGGATTTTGCTAAAATTTCCGATTTAAGTTTTACTAATTTGCCCTAATAGGGCAAATTAGTAAAACTTAAATCGGAAACCAGCATAGTTAAACTACGCTGAGGTACTTTAAGCTGACTAACACAAAAAGTGTTATCTATGTGTTACATAAACAGTAATGCTTATAAAAAGTTACAGAAAACTTGATCATCCGGAAATTTATTTAATTCTCTACCTTTCAAATCTTATCATTTCAGCCGATTAGTATGATCAATGATCACCTTTAAATAATTATTTCGAGCGCGGAAGTTAACTAAAAGTTTTAGATTAAAAAAAGATAATAAATTTTATACAAACTAAAAAACCAACCTCAAAAGAAGACTAACATCGCTTCAGTAAACTGGTTGATCAAGTGTGTTTTTGTGTTGAACTAATATTTTTTTAATTTTGAAATGAATATTTAATTCATTTTTTAATTAATTCAAGCACCGCAATTGCAATAATAGTTACAAAGTCAATTCTCTTAGGAAAATCATTGATTGTATTTGTATCTAAAAATCAATAACAATTGCAAAACCTTCGCAATTCCCTTATGACAATTATATGTAAAACTCTTCTTCGACAATTAATAACGATTGTAAAGTTTTACGATCATTATTGATTGTCAAAGGAGAGTTTTACATGAAATTAGTTTTACAGTAAAACTATTTCGTTAGAGAATTTCGCACTTAATAGAGTTGAATAGTATATACAAGAAATTAAAAATAGATTAACTTTATAATTAATTGTAATAATTATATATATATATATATATATATATATATATATATATATATATATATATATATATATATATATATATATATAACCTAATATTTATACTATATATATATATATATATATATATATATATATATATATATACATATATTACCTAATATATATACTATATATATACATATATATATATATATATATATATATATATATATATATATATATATATATATATATATATATATATATATATATATATATATATATATTAGGGGCCCACCGTTATATATATTTCAAAGGGCTAAAAAAATACTAAAGGCTGGGTACGGAACAGTCCGCCACTGTTCGTACCCAGCCTCTAGTATTTTTTTAGAATATTTTTTTGTCAATAAATTTCAATCAAAATTATGTATGTTTTTTAAAATCTAAATAAAAAAATGCTTTTTTTAGGACGCTGGTTCATATACTTCTAAATATTATTTTCGGACAAATTTAGGAATTTTACTTTAATGCTATTTGATTATCTTTAAAACATGACGTGTGGAAAAAAACTCATGGCAAATTTTGAATTAGCGTGCCAATTTTAGTTAGAAAAAGTCGTTATAAAAAGTTACAACCCAGTGGGAAAAAAGACATCTTTAGACGAATAAAAGGCGTCTTTTTTATGACTTGTTATGTCTTTTTATAATCAGCCAAAATAAAGACGTGGATAAAAAGACGTCTTCAGAAAAGAGGTCGAAAAGACGTCAATCGGTTGTTAATAAGGAAATCATTATTTGCTTAAGAAAATTAAAAATAATTATTGCCAATAGAACCTAACATAAATGAGTTTTAACCCGCAGATTCGTAATTACGATATCTTTGTTACGTTCTGATTGGCCTGTATTTTGTTTACAAAATACTTTTATATAACTTTTATGTGAAACGTTTTTGCATAGGAAATTTAACTAAAAATTAACTTTTGTGAAAGTTAAGTTTTAATGAAACGAACGATAGAAAAAAAGAAGCATTCAGTAGGCTTGCAATTTTTTTTTATATATTTTTAAATGATCTGAATAATTTTGTTGTTTTTATTTAGTTGAATGATGAAATTTTTTATACAAAAGATTGGCTCTTCAACTTTTATGTTAAGTATGTTATTTCCTCGTTAACTGTTGTCTGTCATTAATAAAGTTAATAAAATAATTAGTTAATAAAATAAATTAATAAAAATTTTTATAATTTATAAAAATACACATAATGACAACAGATTTATTTTTAAAAATGTTCGCAAATTTTTGGTTCGGATACAAAAAACCAAGTGAAAATGATACTGGAAAGGTACACTTTCTTATATCTAAACATCATTGCAGCTTTCTAGTCTTCATTTTTGTTTATGTGTATTTCATCTGTGTTGCTAATGATATCGCCAGTTTTTATGATTTTATGTTGTTAAGTAAAGCATCCTTATGTTTCAGGCTAAAATAGAGCTTTGACTAATACTTTTTTCTAGTTTAAATGAATAACAGCTCTCAAGATGTATTAGCTAAATTATCTTTTTGTTTTGATAGTCTTTTGTCAATAACGGATTTTTAAATTGTTATGAGTCTACACCACTTAATTTCATGGAAATTCAATTAAAAAATCATGTTATAGAAGACAGAAAAATATCAATAACTTGATTTTCATAGCAAATCTGAGAGGTGCAAATGTTTAGCTTGATTTAAGTACTACATAATAAAATACATCGTTGTACAGTCATTTTGATGGTTGTAAATTTATTTAGCACACTCATTTTTATATATTTTTATACTGTTTACCGTTTTTAACTCCTGTCCCAATCTAACCTAGTGGGTTCAAAAAGAAGGGACCACGCTGGAAACATGAGTGGATTAAAAGGATCAGCCCTATTTGAATTAATAGTCAGTAAGTATAATGTGCTCCACTCAGCTAATCAAGTTTCGTTTGCTTTTTTTGTATTACATTTAAGCAATAGACTGTTTTTTATGTTCACTTGTTTTTTAGAAGTGGTAACCAGCTAGAAGTCGTAACCTGCTCGTATGAAAGGATTTCTCGACGTGTAATTGTTAATTTTATTCAACAACGCCAAGAAACAGAGCTCGCTCAAGAAACAGAAAATAAATAGAAAGATGAAAAAATATTCTGTAGAACAATACTATTGTTTTATTTATAAATTATTATTCTATATTTAAACATATAAAAGATGTAGAAAATGCATCCTCTTTTATATTGACATCTAAAAGAGGTTTTTTTCTCCGCATCGGAAAAAGCTTTTTGTCATACTTTGTATAAAGAGCTATTATCATTTTCATTTGAAAAAAATAGCTTTTCATATAAGAAAAGTAGGAATATTATAGTGTATAGGATACTATAGTATACTAATAAGTATGGCAAAAAAGTCGTTCCGACCCCGAGAAAAAACAATTTTTTCAGATTTGCATAATCGACTAAAAAAAGGCGTCTTAAAGACGCATTTTTTATGTCTTTTCATGAGAAGATTAAGATAAAAAAAGACGTCTTTTCGATGTCGAAAAAAGATGTCTTTTAGATTTTCATATTCGACTAAATAAAGGCGTCTTAAAGACGCATTTTTTATGTCTTTTTATGACAAGATTAAGATAAAAATAGACGTCTTTTCGATGTCGAAAAAAGATGTCTTTTAGATTTGCATAATCGACTAAAAAAAGACGTCTTAAAGATATCGTAAATAAAACTTTTAAAGACGTCTTTTTTCCCACTGGGAAAAGTCAGTAGAAAAAAATGTTTCAAATTGATACCCAGTGTAATCATTCTAATTTATTCAAAAATAACATTAGTTTTAATTATAATATTAACCATTTTCGTAATCAGTAAACTGTTTTTATACTAGATACATTAGGAAATTAATTTTAATATATAAAATGAAACTTGTGTGAAAATATAGAAATATACCTAATTAATTACACAATAACTGTGTATACAACTAACAGTAAGTTAACTGATAATAACGCGTTTTTTAAGTAATAATAAGAAAGCCATTTTTATAAAGATGCTGTTTTAATACGACTTTCATTAAGTCTCTTATTAAAAAATTATTTTTAAAAAACCATTTTAAAACTATTTCTTCATAAAATAAATACTTAACTAAAAACAATATTTCTTATCATAACAAATATTTTTAGTTCATTCGCAAAAGTTTTAAACATGTTACAAAGTTTAAATTACTCGACATTTTATCAAAAAAAATTGACGGACATTTAAAAAGTTTTTCAAAATGTGGTGTACACTCAGTCTCTACCAAAGCCCATCAAAGACGCAAAACTCTCGTTAATTGATAGAAATTGCATTCTGGGATGTCCTGCCGGACCTTTGCCGCAACTAACACAAATAGTTTTTTTTTTACATAAATAAACTTTGTTGCTAAGTATCTTAATTTTGTAACATTAAGATACATCAATTTTGTTAAGATTACCATTAAAATGTTTCAATAAGAATGAAATAATGCGGAAAAAACGTTTTATAGAGCAAAAAAAAGTTTTGTAGAATATAAAGTTTGCGTAAATTTTTTAGAACATAAAAGTATTTTATTATACAAAAAAGTTATTAAAATTATACATTAATAAAAGTTATTAATATACATCGTAACATAAAAGTCTCATTACAAGTGATTTTTTTGTTTTTTTTGTTTTTTTTAAACATCTTTGCTTCCAACAAGGCTGCAAGCAACCACTATTGGAGTTGGAAGGTACAGGAAGAGAAAAGATGAAGTTTGTAGAGCAAGATAACGATTGACAGACGATTCAAAAGATTGCAAATTATATGAATCAGGAAAGCAAGATGAAGGAAGCGAATTTCAAAGAACTTTTGTTCGAGGAAAAAAACTAGTCGAATAAGAGTTTTTGGAGCACTTAGGAACACTCACAGAAAAAGGATGAGATTTAATTGAATGACGAGTAACACAAGAATGCATTTTGTTAGATGGCTCAAAAGAAGCTAGTTATTTAGACCAGTGCTCATTATAGTATTTATAGAAAAGAGAAACAATATTACGACGTTAATGGTTGGAGATTGGCTGCTAGAGCAGCTCCAACAATGTTTAGATGGCAGTATTCCATAGGACGGATTTGAGATTTATAGGTCTATGTTATGTCTATGTTATTTCTTCATCGAAGACATAACATAGACATCAAGGACGGATTTGAGATTTATATTTGATATAAAGAATAGAATCCGGAGTAAGAAAATATCGAGCACGATAAAGAGATGTAATCTTTTCAGATGTAAAATTAGCAGATGCTAATTTTACAATGGATTTGGTTTACGATTTCCAAGAAAGATCGGAAGTAAGAGTTTATCCTAGAAGATAAGGATAGATGACTCATCAAGTACATTACCGTTCATAAATATAGAACGATCTAAATTATTGAAAAATATTGGGTTTTATCTGAATTAAAGTTCACCAGCCACTGTGAGCCCCATATTGTAGTAGAAGTGAGATCCTTTTCAAGATCAAATGCACCCTTTAAGCAATCAGAGAGAGTTGGCTTCTTATCTTGACAAGAATAAATGTTAGTATCAACAGGAACAATTCCACCTTAGATGTGAGAATATCTGAAAGATCATTAATGTAAATTAAAAAGAGTACAGGGTCAAGGATTGAACCTTGAGGAGCTCATAAAGTTACAGTATATAAAGAAAAGTTCTATCCATCGAGGACAACTTTTATACTACGATTGGAAAGGAAGATATTAAATTGAAAAAATAATACCATAGTATATCATATAATATATGGGTTTATATTCCTGTTTAAAAATTTTATGAAAAAAAATGTTCTTGAAATAACAAAAGACATAACAATTTTGTTAAAGTTATTAGCACATCTTACTATAAAAAAAAAAAATTTCAATCTAAATGATTTTATGAAGTGTTGTAATCAAACAACACTTCATAAAATCATTTAGATTAAAATTTTTTTTTTTTAGATAGTATAATGTGCTAATAACTTTAACAAAATTGTTATGTCTTTTGTAAAATCATTTAGATTGAAAGCTGTCTCAAAATTTGAATCCAAAGTTTGACCTTTATAGATTAAAGAGGACCAGGGTCTAAGTACCTATTTGTTAGTTTTGGAGCTAAATGCACTGGGTTTATTTTTTCTAAATTGAACAGAGACTTAATGTGTTGCTAAGAAACAATTTCACCATTAATGTCGATGTTATGTCTTCGTAAATTATTTCTCATACTTTTTACTAAATACAAAGGATCAAAAAAATATGAATGTTTTTATTATTGGAAGGATTAGAAAAGTATGGAAAAACTTTGGAAAACCCAAGCAAACGTGAGGCAGCTATATTAGTAGATCCTTTATCACAACCTACACATCTAATGTGTAAACCAGTTTCTTGAACCTCAGAAACGGTTTTACATAGTAAAAAAGCCAAGTCAGATGTTAATACTGTTGAACTATTATAAATGTAACTTATTGGTTGTTTCCATTTATTTGCCAAGCCCCTAACCATTACACAAGAGCCTGATTTAAAAGTTTTCCATTTTTCATACCATAAACCCTGTCAGAATTTTTAAATCATACTCTAAATGTTGTTTTAATGACATTTCATCCATAACAAGACAACATCATGATCAAACAGATTCATTGCATCAGCACGTAACTTTATTAAAAAAACAAACGAGTAAAAAACCTTAAAGGTCTGAAAATACACGGTACAAAAATAATAATAAACCGGTTTGACTTGGCAAACTTGTTTGTTATTAACAAAGAATATTGTTTTCAAGACATTAAAAGTTTGAGGACTATAAAACAAAACTCGTAAAGTCAAAACTTTGTCACAAACTACCAAACGTTTTTTTTTATTGGCCTGTTTATTCATTTCTAATTGACTTTTAAAAAAACTAACTTCTATAGGTAATAAGTATTTCCTGAATAAATTTAAAATATGTTTTATAGTTCCATCACAGTTTTTTTGGTTTTTTGTTTGGATTATAAATGTCGAACTTGTTTACGTAGTCTACGTAAAACTAGTTTACGAACTTTTGACTCTTAATGTTAGTAGTAAACTTTGAAGTTTGTTATAATTTATTTTATTAGGAGACATTTTGTTCTCTAAATTACTATTTTCATTAACAGGTAAACAAACAATTTTCTTTTTTTGCTGGAATTGAATGACGATTAACTGGTGGTTTCCTTTTGCAACCGAGATGTGGAGGAGGATTTGGGATGTTAAAAATAGTAGGAATTGCTGATTGTAAAAAAAAGTTTTTCACCATTATTTGTAGAAAAATGATTACTGCACAAATATAGGGTGTAATTGAAAATAAAAAGTATTTTTTGTCTAAATCTTTCCTACGATAGTTAATGATCCACTGTTTACATATAAAAACTGTAAAACCACTGTTTACATTTAAAATACTACAATAATAAATTAGAAACTTTTTATGAAAAAAAAAGGTATTATAAATAATATATGAATTAGCTTGCCTTTTTTCGTCTTTAGAAAAACAAAAAACAGAAATATCTTTACAGTTTTCTCCACTCTCATTTTAACAGTTTATAGTAGCACAAAATGATGGCATTGTTATAACAAAATCGAAATTCTTTTAGGTACATACAAAAAAATCTATTATTATAAAACTCTGAGGTCATTCTAGAGTGCTTTGCGATAAAATTACAACGAGATATATAAAATTATGCCTTACTGAATAGACTTTGGTCTCAACCTACCAAATTCTTTTTAAATACTTAGGAGACTTAAATACATGATCTGAAGGTTAACTCTCTTATCAAACCTCTGTTCCGACGATCTCCTATAAGTCCGCAAACATGAAAAAGAATAATCTTTCAGTTCAAGACAACCTGCCTAAACCCAAACCTTCAGTCAATGTATGCACACGCACTGTGCCTATAGCTATATAAATCAGTCGAAATATGTACACTGCAATGCGCCTATCCATATATATCTCAATTTGCCTGTCCCCTAAAAATGGGAAACGTTAAATCCAATCCGTCAAAGTGCTGTTTAAACAGTTTTTAAAAATTCTAGACCTGATTACGGCATTTACAATGTGATATAAATATTATCAAATTGATATTAAATAAAAATATTATTAATAATGACA